TCTCAAACGCCATGCCACAGGTAAGTACCGGCCCTCCCACGGGCCTGCCCAGCCATCACAGACCCATACAGGTCACACACACACTCAAGGCACTCCGACAACATGCAGGCCACACACAGTCATGCAACCCGCAAACAAGCACGCACTCAGACCCAGCAAACACATCGACAGGCAGGGAACTTAGTACGGCATGCATCCTATGAGCAGAAATCAGAAATCGACTGTATGTTTCAGTCCGTGTATTGACGGGTCATTACAATAACCCTTTAACATCAATCAGAAAACCCCTGTGGGTAATCCTAGAGGCCCCTGCAAATAATTAGCAAGGGCCGCCTCTCAACAAAAGTGGCACTTCTCAAACACATTGCAGGGCAGCAGCACGCCAACTATATATGGCGTAGATTCACATTAAACCACCATTATGAAACGGTTTTCACCTGTCAGCAGTAGCAAGTGCAGATCCCAGGGCTCGATCCCTAGTTCTCACCTTACCTGTGTACAGTATCTGTGTTGACTCCGAGTGTTTGAACCCGTGACCTGTGTTTTTGACAGTTGTTGTTGTCTGTCGTAGGTCGGTGTAGGGGTAGGGGTTTGATCTGTAGACCTGTCGGATAGGAGTCCTAGTGAGTTCTAGAAGTCGTAGCTGTAGCCTGTCCGAAGGGTCAAGGTCGTAGCTGCTACAGTCCTGAAAGGTCAAGGTCGTAGCTGCTACAGTACCGAAAGGCCAAGTCTACAGACTTCCGGAAGTGGCCTTTCAGGGTAGGCTCACGTTAAACAGAGGCAAGTGGGCAAGTGGTGGAGCCAACCTCCGTGCGTTGGCAGTGCAACTGCAGTGAGGTTGCGGTCCAACCCTATGCAGTCAGCGGTACGGTCCAGTCAGTCCCAGTCCAGTCCAGCAAGTGCCATACGGGACTGTGTGCACCAAGGGCCGAGGGAAAAGGGCCAGACCAGCAAGTTACAGAAGTATAAATCAGAGGGCAGCGCCCAGCCATTCATTCATTCCTGCGTAAGCCATGCAGAAGTGCTGCCACAACGACTTGTGCGAGGTGGTCTGCAGTGAGCCCGAGGACGAAGTGGGGGAGAGGGAGTTAGCCATAGCGATAGGGTAGAAGCGGCCATAGCCGCCATAGCTGTAGGTGTGTGTGAGTATGTGCGCAAGGGTACAGGGTGTTGCGTGTGGGGTATCCAGGGTGATCCTGTATGCGAACAGCAGTGCCGAGGGAGTGACAAACAGAGGGTTGTTCAGGCGATGTGCCGCCATAGCCATGTGAAGTGAACTTGTATCTGAGTGTGTTCTTGGTACCATATCTCTGAGTTCTGAGTGGGCGCCTGGCGCCAGTTTGCTGCGCAACCTGTTTGCATGCGTGTGAAGTATGAATGAATGCGAGTCTGATTGCACTGGTATCAGAGCTGGTACCCGCTATCTCACGCGCCATCGCCGTTGTAGCAGGAGGGAGACGCGCGCCATAGGGCGCCATAGCTGGAGTGCACCGTCCTGAAGAGGAAGTCCGCCATAGCTGCGCTGCGGAAGGAAGCGACGCGCACCTGCACAGAAGACAACGACGAAGAGAGAGAGAGAGAGAGAGAGAGAGAGAGAGAGAACTGAACGATACAAGATTGGTTTATCACATACCTGCGCTGAAGACATCACCGAGGAGAGAGAGAGTTGAGTGATCCAAGATTGGTTGTGCGGTCCAAGACAGAGTAGCGGCCATAGCCGCGGAGCTCGGGATACGGAGGAGAGACGAGGGTGAAGTTGAGAAGGAAGGAGGAAGGAGGGATAACGAAGTAGGAGACAGACATAGCCGAGAGTGAGGGGAAAAAAAAAAAAAAAAAAAAAAGAGAAATGGAAAGGGCGAGAAGAAGAAAGAAAAGGAAAGGGAAGAGGAGGCTGGCGAGGAAGGAGGTGCCGGCAGCCATAGCCGACCAGAGGGTTGACCGGGCGTTGACCGAAGGGTTGACCGGGCATTGACCAGAGGGTTGACCAAGCGTTGACCGGGCGTTGACCTGAGGGTTGACCGACATTGACTAGAGCGTTGACCAAGGCGTTGACCGGAGCTGTTGACCACGACTTTGACCAAGCTGAAGTTGGTATAATCTCGCCAAACCCTTGGCCTATCCCCACGCCCTATGGATGTGCACTCACCCTATCGTACTTGCTGAGTCTGAGTCTGTCTGTCTCTTCTTTCTGAGTTGAGTCTCTTCTGTCCAGGTGATAGGACTCCGTGTATGAAGGATAGGGCCTCGTTGACCAAACCCCTGCCGGGCTGAGTAGGGCTAAAGACTGTGTCTGAAATTCGAATGTCCTGGAGGACACGAACCCTCCCAAGGACCGGTACTGACCGGCGGGCTGCTCGGTGTGGCACGGTAGGCCCGAAATCCGAGTTGTGGGCTGCACAACGAGCCGTCTAAGTCTTGAGAGAACCAGCTGACCGCGTTGTCCTGTCTGCGACGTTAAAGAATTCACGAGGAGTTACGGGGATATCCTGAAATGCCTCCTGGTCAGCAACAGGTTCTGTGGTGATGGTTGTAGTATTAGAGTCTAGGCTAGAGACCATAGTTGACAGGGTTCTATATGGATCCTGTGGTCCATAGATCGAGTCAGTAGGTCTTGTCAGTTAGGGGGGAGAGTCTAAGTGGTGAGGAGCGGAACTGTCACTTGGTTGTGCGTCTATCACCATGGTTGACACGCGTAGTGGAACGAGCACCTCCCCTTACACCGCAGAGCAGGATGCGAAGGCCGCCGCCATCCTGAAAGGAAGAAGGGAGAAGGAGGCCAAGAAGAAGGCCTTGATCGAGGAACAAGCGGCGAAGATGAGGAAGATTGAGGAAGAGATGGCCAGAGAGAAGGAGAGGCTAAAGAGAGAAGAGGAAGCGAAGCTCAAGGCGGTAGAAGAGGAGGAAGAGGAGGAAGAACAACCACTGGAAAGGCGAAGGGCAGGAGGACGAGGTGAACCCAGTGGCACAAAAGAGGATCAAATGGAGAAGAAAATTACAGTGGGTTGCTGGATTATCCCTGGGAGAAGATGAGGAGGCCCTAATGTATGTGCCCAGGGAAGAACAGGAGGCGGCCGTGAAAGAGTGGGATGCTGAAGAAGATCCACTCAACCGGCAGGTTTTGGAAGATGAGAAAAGGATGGAGTGGAAGTTTCGTCTGACAAGGGAAAGGAAAAGAAGGATGGAGGCGGCGAGTCAGGCGGCTAGGGAATTGGAGGAGATAAAGAAGCAGAGAGATCAAATGGCGACGCAGGTGGATTCATTGGGAAAGATGGAAATTATGGCGAGGAACATAGAGCGCCTGGCACAAGTCCAGGAAGAACAATTTTTATTTGGTAGAAGTCAAGACATTGTCGTGCGTTCTATACGATTGGGACTCAGGGACTTTGCACAGGAATTGGCGACTCAGGTGGGCTCCGAAGTAAGGACCCACCTAGAAGGCACAGAGCGATATTGCACAGGCGCCATAGAAGGCGCCAGACTGACCGCTCCCAAATAGGAGGAAGCACATCCCCGTAGGGAGCCTGTCAAAGTCAAATTTCCCGATTCCTATAGCGGGAAGAAGAAGAAAACTTCGACAATTGGGAGGCCAATGTTAAGACCTACGTGCCTCTGCAAAAGGTCTCCCTAGATGAGCATGTTCTAATAGCTATCCACGCCCTGAAGGAAGAAGCCGCCAGTTTCGCTCGTTCCCTGGTTCGCGCTGCTAATTGCAATGATGATCTAATCGCTTATTCTGCGTTTACTCCCCTCGCTGATTTCCTTAAATTATTGCGCAAACGATTTGCAGAGTTTCGCGTAGCGTCAAAGCCTCCGACGGGCTGCAAACCATCCACTCTCGTCAATGGAAGAGTGCCAAGGTACTCAAAGGCGTTATGGACGAGTTGTTGCAGTCCCTGACCACGGGGTCATAGAGACCCAGTTGGTCAACCTCTTCTACTAGGCTATGCCCGAATCGTTGCGCGGGCACTTCTTCGAGAAGAGCCAGCAGCCCACCATGACCTACGACGCATTGAGCAGGGAAGTGGTGGCGTTTGAACCAAGGTCCATGTCAGTTTCCACTTTCTGGCACAAGGACCAGGACAAGGGGAAAAAGTGGAAGGGTCACACTATCTCAGGACAGGTTAAGACTAAGGATCGCTTGATCCCTACGTTAGATGAGGGTAGTGTTGACGAAGTCCCCTACGGGCAAATTGAGTGGGGGCTAGAGGAGGAGGACAGTGGTGTGAGCCAGGGGAGGACTTACGCTGCTGTCGCGGCTGGAGGGAGGCCGCAAGGAGGAGGTAGAGGCCAGGGCCAAGGGGGCCGGGCCTCAGGTGGTCGTACCCAGGGCGTGCAGGGAGTTGGTGGCAGAGGAAACCGCCAAGAGGGAGGTAGGGTTCAAGGTCCCCCGCAAAACCGTTTTGGGAATAGGTCGCCTAATAGGGGTAGCAGATCACCCTATAGTAGAGGAGGATGGCACCCAGGTCTGCCACAGGGTAGGCCTTGGGAAGACTTGGGCCTAGACCAGCGCGTATGGCAACAACGTGTGGACCAGGGGCATTGCATCTATTGCGGTGACCCTGGCCACATTATTAAATTTTGTCCAAAGTATAGAGAGGTCCGATCGGCTGCTCAGGGGTCAAAAGGCAGCCGCCGGTAGGGGTAGCAAATGCCCCTACCATAAGGCCATGTGGGGAAACGAGCGCGAGCCGGCAGGAAACTCCGACACGACATGTGCCTATGGCAGAGGTTGCAGGCCGATGCCTAAATAGCTGTCCAGAGACTGCTTGTGTCAGAGTCTCTTTAGGCACCTCCCTCACAGGCGTGGCCGATGAGCTGAAGGAGAGAATGCCCGCCTGGGCCAAGATGGAGAAGGAGAGTAGAGGACAACTAGTCTTGGTAGATGTAGAGATTTTTAAAGGCAGAGTAGGGGCCCTCGTAGACAGTGGGGCCATTCGCAGCTATATTAGTAGGAAGGCGCTGCAGAAGTTGAAGCTGGGATTAAAAGTCCAGAAGCTAGCAGACCCCGTAGTAAGTATCCTCGCAGATAATCGCACGATGCGAGTAGAGGATTACGTAGAGGGAGTCCAGGCGTACTTCCGCCTAGAGAAAGATGGGAAGGTGGAGAAAGTTCTCCATTCCCTGACTCTCCTCGTAGAGGACAACCTTCCTTTTGACATAGTTCTCGGAATGGACTCGGGAGAGGCAGCAGGGGCCACACTCCATTTGAGAGAGCACGAGCGTAGGCTTCCTAGTCCATCAGGCGGAATCAAGACTGCCCGTTTGTTTCATGTGTCCGGAGTAGACAACTCCTTGGCACACTGCTGTCTCAGCGCTCCTGCGTTCGCAAGGTTAGTAAAGGAGCAGCTAGAGGAACAGGTTTTTGTTGCCTATGTCAGGCCAGTGAGTGAGCCTAAAGAGGAGAAGCCTATAGACCCTGCTATTGTCGAGCTGCTGGAAGAGTTCACAGACTTAGCAAAGCCGCCAACAGGAGTAGTACCGCGGCCTATCCAGCATCGCATTGAGATAGAGCCTGGCAGTAGAACTCCTAAGGGTGCTGTATATAGGATGTCCCCGCGGGAGTTGGAGGAGCTGCGCAAGCAACTAGACGAGCTCCTAGAGAAGGGTTGGATTAGGCCCAGTTCGTCTCCCTTTGGAGCACCTGTTCTATTTGTCCCCAAAAAGGAGGGAGAGCTTAGGATGTGCATAGACTATAGAGGTCTGAACGCAATCACCGTGAAGAATGCTGAACCACTGCCCAGGATAGACGATCTCTTAGATCGAGTGAAGGGGTGCAGATATTTCTCAAAGATAGATTTGAAGTCCGGATATCATTAGATAGAGGTCCACCCTGATGATCAGTACAAGACAGCTTTCCGGACTAGATATGGGCATTATGAGTTTCTAGCGATGCCCTTTGGACGAACCAATGCGCCAGCGACTTTTCAGCGTTGTATGGACTTGTTCAGGCCATGGTTAGATAGGTTTGTAGTAGTCTACCTAGACGATATTCTAGTATTTAGTAAGACCCTCCAAGAGCATCAGTGTCATATGAGGCAGGTCTTGGAGAAGCTATGAGAAGCTAACTCCAAGATCGATGCGAAGAAGTGTGAGTGGGCAAAGACCCAAGTATTGTATCTAGGCCACGTCTTAGACGGAGACGGCATCAAACCCGAAGACAGCAAGATCGCAGCGATTAGAGATTGGCCTACACCCCGCACACTGACAAAATTGTGGTCATTCCTAGGCCTAGCCAACTACTATAGGAAGTTCGTGAGGAACTTCTCCACCATCGCTGCACCCCTTCGCAGGTTGTTGAAGAAAGAAGTGATCTGGAAGTGGGACAAGGACTGCACGTCTGCCATGAAGAACTACGCAGGCGTTAATAGAGTATCCGGTCCTTAAAGTAGCCGATCCATCCTTACCTTTCGTCGTCACGACTGACGCGAGTCAGTACGACATAGGTGTTGTACTACAGCAAGACGATGGCCATGGATATAGACCCGTAGAGTTCGTGTTTGCTAGGATGCCTTCAGAGAAGGTAGCGACATCTACCTATGAGAGGGAACTCTACGCTCTCAGGCAAGCTCTAGAACATTGGAAGCACTACTTGCTTGGGAGACACTTTAAAGTCTACTTAGACCATGAGACGTTAAGGTGGTTAAAGACGCAGGCCAAGATGACACCTAAGTTGACCAGGTGGCCCGCGGAGTTAGACCGATATGATTTCGAGCTCAAGCTAGTCAAAGGAAGTATAACATAGTTGCGGATGCTCTGAGCAGGGGAGATGACAACTTCGGGGCAATAGATCACTATCTGGACATAGGGAGAGACGTACAGCAAAAGGTTAGAGATGCGTATGCACAGGACCCTATCTATAGCGACCTTCTCAGGAGGGTCAAGGAAACCACCGAACCAGATTACCGCACTACCGATGGACTACTATTTGAGAAGACTAACGTAGTGGATAGATTGTGCATCCCCGGCAGTGAAGAGATGCGTAGCTTGATCCTAGGGGAATGTCACGATACAGAGGGACACTTTGGTTGGCAAAAGACTCTAGCCAACCTAATGCACGCGTACACCTGGAGAGTATGTTCGCAGTTGCAAAGTTTGCCAGAGGAATAAGACTACTACGCGTGCCCCGCTAGGTCTTCTCAGACCCTTGCCTATTCTTGACCAGCCAGGAGATTCAGTATCCATTGACTCTATGGATGCTGGCGTCAAGAGTAGGCACGGTAAGAGCCAAGTCATGGTCGTAGTTGATAGATCTAGCAAATATGTTGTTTTCATTCCTTTGCCTTTTGAGGCACGTACAAAATTAGTGATTCAAAAGTTTTTTGATCATTGGGTCAGTGAGCACGAGGTCCCATTGTCCATAGTTAGTGATAGAGACACCCGGTTCACTAGTCAGAACTGGCAGAGTTGATGAGAGTCTATGGCTCCAAGTTGTTAATGTCATCTGGCCGTCATCCAGAGACCAACGGTCAGACCGAACAGATGAATAAGATCCTATAGCAAGTTCTGCGTATGTACATTAGACCTGATCAAGTCAACTGGGATGAGATGCTCCCAAAGGTAGCCAGTGCCTACAGCAACAGTGTGCACTTGTTTACCTGTTGCACTCCCAACGAGTTACATAAGTCTTTCAGACCGCGTAGACCATTTGAAGGACTTAACCGGGATCAGATACAAAGGCTACCGCCCGATACTAGGGAGTTTGCGCTACAGCACGAAAAAGAGTTAGCTGCCGTGACAGAAAACCTCGGGAAGGCCCAGCACCGAATGATAGAGCAAGCTAATAAGCACCGTCGCCCATCACAGTTTCAAGTAGGCCACTTAGTCTGGGTCAAGTCTAAAGAGTTTGCTCCTGAGGAGAACATCTCGCAAAAGTTACTACCTGCGTATAGAGGACCGTGGCCAGTTCTAGAAGTCAAGGGAGGAGAGGATGGGTCGTCCTACACAATAGAGATCCCAGCACACCTCCACACCTACCCTGTATTTCATGCATCCAAGTTGCTGCCGTATGTCACAAGTCAACAGTTTCCATCTAGACGGTCCATGATCCCCCCAGACATGGACGGGAGGTTTGACATTGACGGCATTGTAGGTGAAGATGTGTTCAGAACAGGAGGTAGAGGTTGTCCACAAAAACAATATAAGGTCCGATTTGCTTATCAGGAGCCAGCAGACGACCGCTGGTTTACAAGAACCGAACTTCTAGACGCAGCTCCCGACATAGTTAGAGCCTATGAGAGAGATAAGAAAGGAAAAGGTCCTGCAGGGACTGGATTATTCTCGGAGGACCTCGAATTTAGGCCGGCGGGAGTGAAACGGTTTTCACCTGTCAGCAGTAGCGAGTGCAGATCCTAGGGCTCGATCCCCAGTTCTCACCTTACCTGTGTATCGTATCTGTGTTGACCCCGAGTGCTTGAACCCGTGACCTGTGTTTTGACAGTTGTTGTTCTCTGTCGTAGGTTGGTGTAGGGGTAGGGGTTCGATCTGTAGACCTGTCGGATAGGAGTCCTAGTGAGTTCTAGAAGTCGTAGCTGTAGCCTGTCCGAAGGGTCAAGGTCGTAGCTGCTACAGTACAGTCCTGAAAGGTCAAGGTCGTAGCCGCTACAGTACCGAAAGGCCAAGTCTACAGACTTCCGGAAGTGGCCTTTCGGGGTAGGCTCACGTTAGACAGAGGCAAGTGGGCAAGTGGTGGAGCCAACCTCAGTGCATTGGCAGTGCAACTGCAGTGAGGTTGCGGTCCAACCCCATGCAGTCAGCGGTACGGTCCAGTCCAGCAAGTGCCATACGGTACTGTGTGCACCAAGGGCCGAGGGAAAAGGACCAGACCAGCGAGCTACAGAAGTATAAATCAGAGGGCAGCGCCCAGCCATTCATTCATTCCTGCGTAAGCCATGCGGAAGTGCTGCCACAGCGACTTGTGCGAGGTGGTCTGCAGTGAGCCCGAGGACGAAGTGGGCGAGAAGGAGTTAGCCATAGCGATAGGGTAGAAGCGGCCATAGCCCCCATAGCTGTAGGTGTGTGTGAGTATGTGCGCAAGGGTACAGGGTGATCCTGTATGCGAACAGCAGTGCCGAGGGAGTGACGAACAGAGGGTTGTTCAGGCGATGTGCTGCTATAGCCATGTGAAGTGAACTTGTATCTGAGTGTGTTCTTGGTACCATATCTCTGAGTTCTGAGTGGGCGCCTGGCGCCAGTTTGCTGCGCAACCTNTTGTATCTGAGTGTGTTCTTGGTACCATATCTCTGAGTTCTGAGTGGGCGCCTGGCGCCAGTTTGCTGCGCAACCTGTTTGCATGCGTGTGAAGTGGGAATGAATGCGAGTCTGATTGCAAGTACCTCGCCCAGCTTGAAAAAGCCGACGGCCGTTAACGCGCCGCTTCGGGCGGGGTACCCACTGACAAGCAACCGGTATTCCCCCAAAAACGGGAGGAAAACAAAAAACCCACGAAAATGAATTGTAACAAACGGAAAAAAAATGGGCGCGGCGGGGGAGGGAGGGGAGGGAAGAACGAGAGAGAGAGAGAGAGAGAGAGAGAGGGGGGGGCATCAGAGAGGGCTTCCTCTCAACAAAAGTGGCACTTCTCAAACACATTGCAGGGCAGCAGCACGCCAACTATATATGGTGTAGATTCGCATTAAACCACCAGTACCTCGCCCAGCTTGAAAAAGCCGACGCGGTGTTTACGCGCCACTTCGAACGACTGGTATTCCCAAAACAATGGGAGGGAAAAAAAAAATAATAATAACCACAAAAATGAATCGTAATGAACGAAAAAAAAACGGGCGCGGTGGGCGGGGAAGGGGGGAAAGAACGAGAGAGAGAGAGAGAGAGAGAGAGAGAGAGTGTCTGATGCCGAGTTTGGTGCACCAAACTCAGCATCACACTCTCTGACGCCCTCTCTCTCTCTCTCTCAACCAACGTTCAAATGAGAATGAATCTTCCACGTTATCGCGGAGGATTCATTCTCATTTGAACGTTGGTTGAGAGAGAGAGAGGGCGTGGATTCAATTACCAAAAAAACCAAAGCGTCTGCGGGCACATCTGCCCATGTTCTATCTGGAAGTTCATTCTCATTTTGCACATTTCGAGAGTTGGGGGGGGGGGGG